TGTATAGTGTATACATGAAACCAAAGATAGCTTTTTTGCTTTGTATTTTAGTCCACATCATTGTGTTGTTTTGCTTTGCTAGTTTATATAGCTTTTTGCTTTTGCACATGATAGGAGCTCATATGGAGCTTGTGAAGCCATGTGAGAATGTTGCAAGTAATTATATAACTATATTCTTTAATATTTGAAATTTAAATATATAATATTATATTAATGATTAAGTTTATCATTTTTATTTAATTATTTAAAAACATTTTGGACCGGCCGGTTTTAGAAAATCGGGATCGGTTCACCGGTTCCCGGTTGAACCGGCGGTTCAAGCCGGTTGGATGCACACCCTTTTATAAGGCTGAACCGGATCGGCCTTCAGACCGTTCACGGTTGAACCGGTCGGACCGGTTTTCAAAACGTGGCCTATTTCACATTTTTTTATTTTCTTTTTTCTTTAATTTGTAAATTATTTTTTTTTTTTTTGGGGGGGGGGGGGGTGGATTGATGCTGGCTGCTTGATGGCTATTTGGTTTCTGTTCTCCTGGCTTGGCTGTTTCGGTCCCCTTGGCCTTTGGCTATTTGGTTCCTGGCTTTTCCGGTTCCCCTTGCTGGCTGTTTGGTTCTGCTCCCTGCTTTCCTGGTTCCCCTTGCTGGCTGTTTGGTTCCCGCTTCCTGATTTTCTGGTTCCCCTTGCTGGCTGTTCGTTACCTGCACTTGGATATCCCGGTTCCCTTGCTGTGGCTGTTCAAGTGGGGGTCCAAACGGTGCCTTTATTGCTTCTTTTTCTCCTTTTGGTTGGCTGTGGTGGACGACTGAACATGGATGTTGGCCTCCCTTTTCTATCCTATTTATAGGGGAGTTTTGGGCTGTTTTAGAGAGACTTTTGGTGATGATTTTTGGAAAGAAAACCTTAGGATTTTTTCACTAGCTTGCGAGCTAGTCTCCTTTCCCTTCTTCTCTAAACTTCGTCTCAGTCTTCTTATCTAATTCTTCTCTCCATGGTAACCCTCCCATTGTATCTTTCTTCTCTTTAAAAAACTTATATGATAGTTGTGTTGTTATTAGAAGCTTGTTGTGTCTTTTTAATGTGTGTTTTGTCATGTGTTTTTTTTTTGTGGTTCTTTTTGTGTATGTTTATATGTCATTTTGAAAGGGAGATGTCATCTTTGTTGCAACCTTAGCTTCTTATACATTTTTTTTTGCATTAAATTGGTATTAGAGCTTAAGTTTTGTGTCTTCCTTCCTATTTCAAAAAGAAAATAAAAAAATTTTGGACCCTCATCATCCTCCAAAGCAAGAAGAAGTTGAATATGAAGTTGGAGAAAATCGACCAAGTTATCTTGAGGAAATTATTCCAAAGAATAGATGGATTTCTCCACAAGGAAGTTCTACGAATCCCATCTAGAACAAGTTGTACAAAATTCAACATAAAATGAACTTGTGTACAGAAAAATATGAGAAGAGAAAGAAACATCTACAAGCCCAGTTTGAGCAAGAATGATTCAGAGAAAATATGCGGCTCTAATACAAGAGTTGGATGTGTCCCCTTCGACACGTCATGAAAGTTCTAAAGTCATATCATCAGGGAATGAGACTCTCAACAAGGGGAGATTTGATGTAAGGATGGCCGCCCCCCTTTTTTTAATGATTTTTTGTGTGTGTGTGTGTGTGTGTGGGGGGGGAGAGAGGGGGGGGGGGGGGGGGGGGGAGGATGCTAGCTGATTGGTGGCTATTCGGTTTATGTTCTCCTGGCTTGGCTGTTTCGGTCCCCTTGGCCTTTGGTTGTTTGGTTCCTGGCTTTTCCGGTTCCCCTTGCTGACTGTTTGGTTCTGCTCCCTGCTTTCTTGTTCCCCTTGCTGGGTGTTTGGTTCCCGCTCCCTGCTTTCCCTGTTCTCCTTGCTGGCTGTTCAATTCCCGCTCTTGGCTGTCCCGGTTCTCTTGCTGTGGCTGTTCGGGTGGTGATCCAAACGGTGCCTTTATTGCTTCTTTTTCTCTTCTTTTGGTTGGCTGTGGTGGAAGGCTGAACATGGCTGTTGGCCTCCCTTTTCTATCCTATTTATAGGGGAGTTTTGGGCTTATTTTAGAGAGAGTTTTGTTGATGATTTTTGGAAAGAAAATCTTAGGGTTTTTTCACTAGCTTGTGAGCTAGTCTCCTTCCCCTTCTTCTCTAAACTTCGTCTCAGTCTTCTTATCTAATTCTTCTCTCCATGGTAACCCTCCCATTGTGTCTTTCTTCTCTTTAAAAAACTTATATGGTAGTTGTGTTGTTATCAGAAGCTTGTTTTGTCCTGTTCATGTGTTTTTTATTTGTTCTTTTTGTGTATGTTTATGTCATTTCGAAAGGGAGACGTCATATTAATTGCATCCTTAGCTTCTTTTAAATTTCTTTTGCATTAGTTGTTTTTTCTGTTTTTGATTTATACCCCACTATGCCAAGAAAGATGTTTATGGATTTGCAAACATATATGTAAAATTTTTAGCACAAATTTTTTTTCATAGTGATAAGAAATGTGCATATGGATACTTATTTTTGATGGCCCATGTCACATTTCCCATAACATTAAGAAAGGCGCGCGTGAATATTTCATCTTTCATTGCTCCAAAATAGGCACGTATGGGTTTCTTCCCACTAAGACATAAAAGTAGTATATTGGTCCCTTGAACGAGACACATAGCTTTTGTTTTCCCCGCCGCATCAGGTAAGTATCCTTCCCCTTCTTCTCTAAACTTCGTCTCAGCCTTCTTATCTAATTCTTCTCTCCATGGTAACCCTCCCATTCTATGTTTCTTCTCTTTAAAAAACTTAAATGGTAGTTGTGTTGTTATCAGAAGCTTGTTTTGTCCTTTTCATGTGTTTTTTATTTGTTCTTTTTGTGTATGTTTATGTCATTTCGAAAGAGAGACGTCATATTAATTGCAACCTTAGCTTCCTTTAAATTTCTTTTGCATTAGTTGTTTTTTCTGTTTTTGATTTATTCCCCACTATGCCAAGAAAGATGTTTATGGATTTGCAAACATATATGAAAAATTTTTAGTGCAAAATTTTTTTCATAGTGATAAGAAATGTGCATATGGATACTTATTTTTGATGGCCCATGTCACCTTTCCCATAACATTAAGAAAGGTGCGCGTGAATATTTCATCTTTCATTGCGCCAAAATAGGCACATATGGGTTTCTTCCCACTAAGACATAAAAGTAGTATATTGGTCCCTTGAACGAGACACATTGCTTTTGTTTTCCCCGCCGCATCAGGTAAGACTCGTATGTGTACTTATATTTGATGTTCTCCTAGTTGCTTTTATGCTGTTTCTTTTCCTTCATCTAAATGTCTTCAAGCACAAGCGCTTTTTGGGCATCACCTCGAATTTGAGATTTCTTTAATCTATATCAAGTGACTTCAAATGAGACCTTGATTTCACAAGGTTCGAACACATTAGCAACGAACTCTTTTCACATCAAAGTTTTGGAATCACAAGCTCACATTTTAAAGATCAAGTTGTCATTTCATCTTTATGGACGTATTGCAAGTGTTGTCTTTCTCATACTATTAAGGCCCCATGATGCGGACATTCGACGGTGGACGTTAGTCAAAGGATGAGACGAAGATCAACGGCTTAGATCCCTCCATTTTATCTTAGTTTATTAATTGTATTTTTTGATTTAATTATGCATTTTTCGTTTTTACCCTTACTTAAGGGTCTTGTCTTATGTAAGCCCAAGGGGCAAAGTTATCTTTTAGTTTCTTTTAAGGCCTATATATAAAGGTCCTTGCTCTTATATTAGATCAATGATGAGTTAATAAAAAAAATTGTTTCTACACTTTGCTCTTGAGAGCAATGGGAGTTCTTAGGAGAGTGGAAGTTCCTATGTGAGGGCAATGAAATACTCACCAGCCGCAGGATGTGTCCGGGCTCGTGGTTGAAGTCCCTTGGTGAAGGGTAACACATCACCCGTTAGCCGCAGGAAGTGTCCGGGCTCACGGTTTATTTTCTTTCTCTAATCCCTCACCTCCTTTAACCGCCGGCTAAATCTTCCCCTAGCCGCTCGCTTTCTACCTCCTATACTCTTCCCCACCACCGGCTACCCACCCCCTTTCCTTTTCAACCGTCGGCCACCACCCTCTCCTTCTTCCAATTGCCGGTCTCCTCCCCATCTCCACCCTAAAACCCCACCAAACTATCCCCTTCTCCACAAAGTCGCCACTTCCCTTAACCCTCTCATCCTAATTTCCTTCTTTCCTATTTGGATTTGTTTTAATTTTGGAAAGCTTTTGAATTTAAATTATATGGTTTATATATATATATAATCTAATTAAAATGCATCTTAAATCTCGCTTGTAATTTCTTCATTCACGTATCTTGATTTTATTTGTCGTCTTATGAGTGTATTTTTTTCTTCTTTTCGAATTTTTGTGGTACAATGTCCTGGGTAGTATGGGTGTTTTTTTTTCTAGCCATTTTTGATATTTTGGATGCATTGGCACATGCTATTCTATTAAACATTTTGTGCATTTTTAATATAATTGAAGTATTTCGAACCAAGTTTGTGCTACTTCACATCTATAGTTTGTCATTTTGTTGTGTTTAATCAAATTGATCATATGACTCCTTACTAATTGAACACTATGTACTCATCAACACAGTTCGTTTTGCGAAATGAGTGATGTTTAAATAATTTTGAATTTGTGCGATACATTTTGAATTGAATTTGCACAATGCTGTGTGACCGTCGGCCATCATTTTCTCCATATTCGATCAGACCAAACCAAATGTGGACAGATATAGAGGTTAACACAAAGTTCAAGTGCCCAGTGAGATAGGTTATGCCCATGGTTTACTTTTGTATGCTAAGCATTCTTTCATTTCAGTTTGCTGGTCAGTAACTGGAATTGCTATACTGTTTTTTCGACCCTTAATCGTAATTTTATGTTAATTCTGCAATTATAGATCTCTGATAATTTTCATGACAGAATTGTAAAACTGAAGCCTGACTGTACTACTGTGGCAGTGAAATGCCTGGATGTTGGTCGGTGCATAATCTACATGCCTAGAATAGATTTATGGGCTATTGAGGACTCTGCAGACCCGAGTGTCAGTGAGAGTCAAGTCAATCCTGAAAAAAGTCCGTCTATGACAGAAAAGATTACCGTCGTCGGTAGAAGGGGTACTTCTGAAATGTGGAATTCATTCGTTGAGCAGGTAGATTCTGCTGTTACTGCTGCATCATTGACTATCCTGGTAAGTTGAAATCCTTATAGGGTTCCCGTTGTAAATTTTGTTATATTTTGCAGCTTTTTAACATGCTTACTTAGCAATTATTAGAAGGGGTACTTAGCTATGAGTTGTCTTCCTTCCATGTTATGTGCTTATTTGTTTATTTTTTAAGCCTCTGATTCTGGCATTCTGCGGAGTTTTTTATTGAGAAATTTTCTTGTGGGTTATGTTAAGTGAAATTCTCCTTATTATGGTGGTACTTTACTGGTTTTTTTTTTTTTTTTGCATGATGGAACCTTGAAAGATGTATTATTTTGAAGAAGATGTATTAGTTTGAAGAAAAAGTCCGTTTGATTATGAAAGTTAAATTCTTCTTATTCTGGTGGTGCTTTAATGGTTGCTACATTTGTTTTGCATATGGAACCTTAAAGTGTTATTTTAATTGATTAAGAATCTTTACCAGATTTTTTTTACATGTAGGTGATCTTGATGTTTATTTTTCTTGTCATGTGCAATGATTTTAACTTTGATCCTTAAGAAGTAGTTCCATTTTCTTCCTGTTATCTATAATAATTCCTTCCTCTGCAACTGGACCTAGTCTAATTCTTTTTGATGGTGTTGTTTGTATTGTCTTCTGTTCGTGCCTCTTGGGGGTTGGGGTGGAGTGGCTTAATGCAACTGAAATCAATTCCACATAAGCTCATATTCTTTGATAATAATTTTTTTTTTTACTTAGCAATCCACTATCATAGTTTTCGCCTTTATAGCCATAGTGCGTGTTTCATGAATGCTATACTAAAGGGTCTTTGCTTCATTCCTCTGCAGGCTACATGTGAAGTGGAAAAGGCTGACCTTCCTCTAGGTTTAATGCGTTTTTTTTCACGGGATGTGCGAGGTCATACTAATTCTACTTCAACAGATTGCACAATATCAAGATTTTTTATCCATATTGATAGAAAGCTTGATCTTGAGCGGGCAATCAATTCAGCTGCAGAAAAGCTGTCATATGACCTAATCCTGCATTATCTTAAATTAATACATGAGCGAACTCATTTGAGATATTATTCTGAAGATAAACATAAAATTCCACATTTGGATATTAATTCAGAAGCTCATAAGCAAAGTTTGCACCATGAGCTAGTCACTCAAGAGGTAAAAGTTCAAGAAGCAAGTGCTGGAAAGACCATTATTTCAAGCAACACATTATTAGAGCCAGAATGGATTGCTTCAAATGGCGAAGCTTCTTGCATAAAGGACCAAAATTTTCAACAATTAAACAGTACAGTTTTGCCTCAAAGTGGAGGAGACGGTGTTGTTCGTTCCCAACCTTATGGTTTGCAAGATTCATTTCCAAAAACCTGTAAAGTTTTGAAGGGAAACTTGATTTTAGCTATAGCAACATTTGGATATCAGATTCTTAGATATCCACAATTCGCTGAGCTTGTTTGGGTGACATCAAAATTGAAAGAAGGTCCTTGCGCTGATGTAAGCGGGCCATGGAAACGTTGGCCTTTTAATACTTGTGTGATGCATTCGGAGTGCTCACCTGACAAGAGAGTCTCCGTAACAAATCCTTGTAATGTTAACGATATGGAGCCCCCTGGCTTTGTGAGAGGCTTAATTGCTGTAGGTTTATTGGCATATAGAGGCTTTTATGCATCAGTAAGCGAAGTATCTGCTGATGTTAGAAAGGTACTAGAGCTCTTGGTTGGGCGAATACGTGAGAAGTTATTTACCAGAAAAGACAGATACCGCTATTTCAGAGTTTTGTCACAAGTGGCTTATCTAGATGACATGGTGAACAGCTGGGGATACATGCTTCAGAGGTGGTTCTTTGGAACAATATCCAATCTGAGTTTAATTTTCATTTCTCTTGTTGGAACAACATCTAAACTGAATTTTCTTTTTATTTTCTCATTGTGAAGAAACCATAAAAATGTTGGAGCTACTGCAATTTAGTTGTGCTCATGTTTTTTGTTATGCTTCTCTTTGAGAGTCATTTAGTTTGTTTATTCTTTTGAATTATTTAGTATTATGCTATTTTTCTAGTGCCTTAAACTTCTCTCAAATTTCTTCAGGCGCTCTTATTATAAACTTTTGTTGATTATTCTACAAGTTTTACTCTGACAGTCGGCTACTAATGCAACCCTGCACTCTTTTCTTCCAGGGCTTTGGACCTGACAATGACTGGGGGATTATGATTTTGGGCGATCAAGTCATTAATAAGAGTACACATTTTAGATATCTTGAGTCTATTGTTCAAGTGATGGTGAAGTAGATGGGAGTATTATTAGTAGAATTCAAGTTGGATAGTTGAAGTGGAGTAATGCATCCAGACTATTGTGTGATAGAAAAGTACCACTCAAACTTAAGGGAAAATCCTATAAGATGGTGGTGAGACTTGTGATGCTTTATGGTGCAGAATGTTGGCCTTTAAGAGAGAAGCATAAGCTTAAGTTAAGTGTCACAGTGATGAGGATTCTTTGGTGAATGACTGGTCTCACTCTTAGAGACAAAATGTGAAATGAGTATATTCATGAAAAGATCGTGAAAAGGTTGGAGTAGTTCCACTGGTAGATAAGATTAGAGAGAGTCGTCTTAGATGGTTTGGTCACATAAAATGTCAGCCTTCCAGTGATTCGATTAGAAGAGTAGATGCATTAGAGTTGGCCTATGTTAAGAAAGATAGAGGTAGATCTAAAAAGACTTGTTAGAAATTATTAGAAATTATTATTTTTTATTAGAATTAAATGAGAATTAACTCTCAATAGGACATAATGGAGACAAAGTCTTCATGTAGCCGACATCACGTAGTGGGATAAAGGCTTGATGTTGTTATTGCTGTTGTTGCTCTTATTATAAACTTTGGTAAAAACTAGCATATGCATTTTTAAATTTTTTTCCTAGTTTTCTTCTGAATATTGTTTATTTCTTCTGCAGCTTACAAGCAGATAATAGCATAACAGAGGTAAACTCCAAAACAGTGGCTTTGGGGAGATTGCAAGCAGATGAAACAAATACTGGGAGCACTGGCATTGCTAATAATCAGTCAAACATGCGGGTCCATGACAAAAACTGCAACTTGGCTTCAGATATTTTTTCTCAGGGATTTAAAGGTAATAATGGTGAATTTTCTGATACGTGTAAGGAGCTTGCTAAATCTGATGCTGGCATGATAGTAGATGTTCAGAATACTTTCAGTTATGCTTCCCTAGCTTCTAAAGAACTCACTTATGATGGTAAATCTTCTGGATTAGAGGGAGGTCCAGTTGGCTCGACACTGAACACTGTGGATCAGAGATCTGCTTCTTCCATGACTGAAAATATTCACATCTTTAAGGCTAATAATGTATGCCATCTTGACAGCCAAACGTTACTTTCCAAGTCCTCTGAAAAGGGAACTAGCAAAAGATGCAGTGTTGTGGACAGTTCCGCCCCTGCCCTCCAAGATAACGGCAATATTTTCCAGGTTTCATGCCTCTACAGCTGCTGCTCAAATTGTGTGCATATGGTAAATGCGATCGCTCGTAAAATGATCTCCATGAACTTGGAATCGAATGAATGTTGCTCTGTCGATGACGTCCATGACATTATAACATCAAATTCTTTAAATATTTTAGCATCATTTAGGAAATATTTCGAAGAAAATTTTAGAAGGAAACTGCATTGTCAAGCTCAGCTTGAAGAAGATCTTAAGAGAATGGCATGCCACTGTGAACCTTTCGGGAAGGTAGAACTTTTACCAGTGGAGTGTGACTGCCATAAAAAGGTGGAGGATAATCCCATATTACCAAATACTGGTAGTGGGTCTTTGTTGGAATCTAAACTAAAGTATTTCTTCAGAGATGATGTACTTGTACATTTGGTACCTAACGACTGTTCTGAGCTCCATTGTAATTTTGAGAAAATTTGTGTTTGCTCAGCTGTAATGGTATTACTGACAATCAAGCAAACATTTGATTTATGACATGCACAGCCCAGGCTCCTTCTGGCTTGAAGGAAAATTGATTACCTTTTCTGTCAGTAATTTTATCTTCCTGATGGTTCTGTTCCTGATCTTCATACAGGAAAATTGAATGATATTTCCCGAAATTTTACTGATCTGTTGAGTCTTGTTAAGAAGGCAGCAAGCTTTGGAGCTATCATTCCGGATGCAAGAAATAAATGTGTAAGTGCATGTTCTTTTCTTATTTGTATTTATTTGTCCATGTTATTTTGGTAAATTATAGTATATTCTGCATACTGGAATGTCAAGCAACCATCTCTGTTTTGCTAAGAAAACTTGTCCATGATTTCTGTGTTGCAGCATAATCTGACGCACTCTGTTTTGAAGGAGAAATTATTCTATGCAGAGTCCAGATGGGAAGTTTCTGTTCGGGCTGTGAGTGTATACACTATACACATGCTGTTTGTATACTCACAGTCCGGATGAAAACTTTTCGTCAGGACTCCACAGAATAATTTCTCGTTCTGAAGACATCATGAATTCCATGATTTGGTTATCCTGTTTGTTTTAGCTTATGCAAGTATTGATAGTGCATACAGTCTAACTAAGTAATGTAGAATCGATATTGGGGAAGCAATAAACAAAAGAAGTTAAAACTAACATTATTGAGGTTGCTCGAAAGGATTTAATGGTATGATGGAGGAATTCCATTGGCTTAAATTGAGTTCAATATTGTTAAGGGATAGACGCCTGCTAACCAAAAGATTGAAGGTAATTTGTAAGATTTAGAATTATGGTATCAAAAATTCAGCCATTATTTTACTTTGATGATCTTAATGCATAGAGCTCATTTGATCATGTAAAGCCAACAAGAGAATTAATTGTTCTTCAACCTTTCTTGATAATGGTAGAAACTATATTGACTAATGAGAGGCAGAAGTTGCTCGTAATCAAATTATCAATTATGTTACCACTCATTAGTGATTTGGAGTACCAATTGAGCCCTACATATTAGCAGATCGATAGTCTTCAACTCAACTTTTGTTATATTTTGATTTTGAATTATTTTTTAGTCTCATGTGCATATCAATAATCCCTCTAGGCATAATAGCCTTTGTGGTTTGGGACCTTCGAGAGCTTGATGTAAAGAGAATATTGATATGTTACAAAAAATTCGTCTTGATTGGGCATGAATGTTGTTGCAAATATGAGATTAAGGTTTTAAAAATTAAAATTGGAATCATCAGAACTCTAATTTCTGCAAGCTTATAGTCAAATTGAACATTTCTGCGAGATTAATCAAAATTAGTCTAATCCGAGCTCAAATGAACCCAAATCAAAGGTCAAAAGCATATTTGGAGGCTTCAAAATATTAATTGGATAACTAAATGATTGTTGAATATGACATATTTATAGTCGAATGGAGTGTCTCGACGAGACGAATACAACGAGCCCAAGATCATTAAATTCTGACATCATTAAGGTATTTAAATACTGGATCAACAATTTATGATCAGAGAAGTCGATATTAGTCATCCATCCTAACAATCCCAACTTGACATTGATCATCTTCATATTTACAAGTCGTGACACTCCTTAAAAACTATAAATGAGCTCTCATTCTTCACATAAAGAGAGGAAAAAAGAGGAGAAAAAAGAGGAAGAGAGGAATAGACGGAGAGAACTTATGGAACTCTCTTTCCGCCGACCATCGCCGCATCTTTTCTTGACCAGTGATCGTCATCGAACTTCCCTCTGTTCGTCGATTGCCGCTGGATTTTTTCTCCATTGTCACCGAACTTTCGCTCCTTGACCACCGCCATATCTCCCTGATCGTCGCTGGACTTTCACATGTTCATCGACTGTTGTTGGATCTCTTCCCAACCTTTGTCGGACATTTGCTTGATCATCAACTGTTGTTGGATCTCTTCCCGATCGTTGCCGAACTTCCCCTCATTTTTTGACCTCCAACGAATTTTTTAGCCTCCGTCATCAAACTTTCGCTAGTCAACCTCCGTCATCAACAATCGTTGCCGAAATTCCCCGACCGTCACTGAAATTTCGTTTGTTCGTCAACCGCTGCCAGATCTCTTCCCAACATTTGCCAGACATTTGCTCGTTCATTAACCATTGTCGAATCTCTTCCCGATCGACGTCAGATTTTCATCCATTCTCCAACTGTCACTAGACTTCTTGTTGTTCGCTGGATATAACTGGATCTCCAACCGTCTTCAGACCTTTGCAGAACAATCTCCTGACTGTTGACACTAGATTTTTGATATATATGTATTATATCCATCCGAAGTTTAGCAACATTATCAACATATCATATTTGTATTGAAAGACGAGTGGACTTTTGTAATCCATTCAAACAATAGTGGAATCTTTTCAACTAGGCTATACCTCGTAGTTTTTTTCGCTTTCAGGATTTTCCACATAAAAATCATATTTTTTTTTTCTATTATTTCAATTATCCGTTTGTTTGCTAAGGTTTTTTTACCGCTAAGACGTAAAATATTCTCTCTATCACCGTAAATTTATCTGCCTACAACAGTTTGAGACGCCGTTTGTGAGAAATTTTCGCAGCACTTCTTTAATGATTGATCGAAGTAACACCAACGATATATTTTCTCTGCTACTCTAAAGGGTCAAGCTCGTACATGGTTCTATGCTCTTCCTAGAAATACAATTTACAGTTTCGCTCATCTTGCGAGGCTTTTTGTTGAACAGTTCATTGCCAATCGAAGAATTATAAAAGATTCATCGCTTCTCTCAGGAATCCATCAAAATGATGGAGAATCTTTGAAGGACTATTTTCAGAGATTTTCTTCTGAAGCTCAACAAATTTCGGGAGTAGATCCTAAGCTACTGCGAGGTGATTTTCTTGGAGGATTACGCCCCAGACCATTCTACTCTTCACTGATGCGAGAAACCGTTCGATCTTATGCCGACCATTCTACTCTTCACTGATGCGAGAAACCGTTCAATCATATGTTGACCTAATTCATAGAGTTGAGGCTCAAACTACTACTCATAAGGTTATCAATGCTCATCAAAAATAATTTGAGCAACCATCAAATAAAAAAAAAGAATGGACACGTAGATGAAGCCTAAAAATCTCAAAAAAAGAATTCAGGACCTTCCACCTCAACCCCCTAAGCAAGACCATGAATATATGACGAAGAAGGAATATACTCCGTTGAATACGTCACGAGTTAATATTTACATAGCTATACAAAATGAAAGAACTGGTAAATGACCCAATCCGCTGAAGCCAAACACTGACAATCAGGATTATTATTGTCACTTTCATCGAAGTCGGGGACATACTACTGAAGCTTGCATACAATTGAAAGAAGAAATTGAAAGATTAATTCAACATCGATATCTTCATCAATTCACTCAAAATCCACCTATTTGAAATGAAACTAATCCTCTTAGGGGGCAGAATCAATATCAACAACAAAGGCAACAATAAGTTAACCGTCAAATAATTGGAAAAATTGAAACCATTGTCGGAGGATCCCTATTATCTTCTCTAGTCCTCCTCACTACCCCAGAGGAGCCATCATTGAGGAAGACTCGAGCTGATTATTCCATCATATTCACCGATTTTGACTTGGAAGGGATCCATACTTCACACCTAGACCCTCTTGTCATCCGCACCGATATTAGAGATCAATGTTATAACGTCAAAATAATCTTAATTTAGTTAATTGATAATGAGAGCTCATTGGATGTTTTATTTTACTTAACTTTTCTTAGTATGGGTCTGGTTAGAGTGAAATTTTAGCCTGCCGTTGGATCATTGTATGAATTTGACAATCGTCCGGCGTGGGTGGAGGGGACAATTACTCTCCATGTCATTCTTAGAGAATTCCCTTGGCAGGTTACTCACTCACTTCAATTCATTATTGTCAAAACAGAATCAACGTATAATGCCATATTTTTGCCATCTATCTTTGGAGCTATCACTTATGTACCTCATCAAAAAAATAAAATTTCTAACTCCAGTTGGGATTGGTGAGTATGTGGAAATCAACAAGTTGCTCAAACTAGCTACCTTAGACATGCTCAACCACGCCCATTTGTAACCCTGTATATTGAAAATTTTGATTCCAGGATAAAGATATCCTTCAAAGGGCCGAAGCCTGGAACGTGGGCTAAAAATCAAGTGAGTTTTAAGGCTTAAAAAGAATCTTGAAGCTGCAACTCGACACCATTGCCGACGTTCACAAATATTATCAATAGTTGTTATTAAAGCTTTTTACTATATATAGCTTATATGCTTTCTGAATTGACTATTATGTAGCTATCGTATCTCTAAGTTATATTATATAATAATTATATTGTTTTCTTTAATATAATAAGATTTTGTTTGCCCATTACTTATATTATATTCTTTTCCAAGGAAGATCATAACGATGATCCTAAACAATCTATGCTATCTATTATTTTATCTTTGATTTGAGAATTATATAATATTTGTTATATCTCAATCACTGGATGATCAATCTCAGGGAGATTTGATCTGAGCTCTTCCACACAAGTAAATGACATCAAGCAACACTATGACAAACAATCTTGGAAGGTGAAACATCCTTAGTTGATTCTCTTAATATTTTTCACGCAGGTTAAAATCATCGAGCAATGTTTTGACAAACAACCTTGGATATGTTAAACATCCTTGGTGGATTTGATCTAACATCTTCCACACAGGTTAATGTCATCGATCGACGCTCTGACAAACAACCTCAGATTGGTTAAAAATCTTTGGTGATTCTCTCAAACTCTTCCATACAAGTTAACGCCATCGAGAAATATTCTGACAAACAACCTTGGATAGTTCAAACATCCCTTATGAATTTTTTCAACCTTTTCAATATAAAATAATGACATCGAGCAATAATTAAAAACCTCAAGGCACACCCATGAGGCAGCCCAAAAGGAAAACTAGTAACAAACGGGGTCCTTACTAAAAAGATATCATAAGTAAAAAGGATTTACAAAATCACCATTCATTTAAAAATATCATATGGCTAAAAGCCTCGAAGGATATATATTTCTTCAAATTATTAAAATTAAAAGCTAAATAAGAAATAAATCCCTGTAATCAGGTTAGGGGGGGGGGGGGGGGGGGAAAACTGTTTTTGAATCTCTTCCAGACCATCACCAAACTTCCCCTTGTCCGTCGATCGCCACCGAAATTTTTCTCCACCATCATCGGATTTTCGCCCGTCGACTCCCGCTGAATATCTTCTGGATCGTCACAGGACTTCACTCGTTCATCGAATGCCTCCTGATCTCTTCCCAACCTTTGCCGGACATCTGCAAGTTCATCGG